TAATAGTAAAGAGTATAATATATTCTATAATAAGATAGTAGTAGTAATATAGATATAATATTAAGAAGTAGTAGTAGTTAGAAGTAAATTAAGAAAAGTAGAAGTATAGCGCTATTAAATATAGTTATATAAAGGTAATAGCTAGTAGTAAACTTTAATCTAGTACTTCTACTATTATAATAATAAACTAGCTAACTACTACCTACTATCTATTATACTTCTATTTATAATTAAATACTAGTAGCTACGTCTAAAAGTAATTTAAAAAGTTATAATAGCTATAATAATACTAACTAGATAATAACTCTATAAATAGTAACGTCGGTACTATAAGTACTAGAGATAATAGTAGTAGTAGCGTCGCTACTATTTCCTTCTATAATTTACTTCTCTTAGTAATAATCTAGAACTCTAGTACCTAATTAGATATACGAATTACTATCTCTTACTCGATAATATTATTCTTTAATACTTTCTAACCGAGTTCGTACTACTTATATTATAATAACTTTATAAATACCTTAAACGACTAGAGGCGCTCTATAGTATATATTAGTAGTATATTGCCTAAAGTAATTCGAGTAGTAGTAATTCGCTTAATTATTACTTATAACTTTATTACTTTAAGTACTAGCGCTAGTAACGAACTATTAACTTAGTACTACTACTTCTAAATACGTCTACTACCTCTATATAGCGCTAGCGACGAACTACTACTACGTACTAGTAACGACTAACTCTAAGCTAGTAGTACTAGTAACGATTCTACTTTATTATCCGACGACTTAACTTCTATACTTTTATTAGATAATTCTACGATATTATTACTTTCTACTATATTATTACTTATAGCTAAACGATTACTCTATAGCTCTTCTATATATTCGAATTAATTAGATAACTAGTAGTAGAATAGCTTATACTCTTTATATATAAAGTAGTATTTAGCTTCTACTTCGTTTATACTTAAAGGCGCCTTACTTTTAATATATATCTATCTACTAATATATTTTAGATACCTATTCTACTTCTATTAAATATACTTCTATTTAGTAACTCTATTTATAATAGGCTTCTATACTAGCGCTATTCTCTATTCTAATAATATATTATAAGCTAATTAATAGAGAAACGAGTACTTAAAACTACTATTATTAGTTATTATCTCCGGCGATTTAATAAGGCGATTAAAGAGTTCGTTACCTAGAGTAATACTCTTTTATTCTAGCTTCTAGTTAGTTAGTATAGTAGTAAATTAGAAGGCGAGAAATACCTTTTAATTATAGACGATAATAGAAGTAAAGAGTATACTAATCGACTAGATTCTACTCTATAATATACGCGATAATATAAAGTTAAATTTTAACTAGTTACTTAACTATCTTAGTAATAATTCTCTAGTAAAGTAAATAGATATAATTATCGAAAGCTAAGCTAGCAAAAAGCGGTAAGAATTCTTTCGCAATTCGGGAATTCTATAATCGCGAATAGCATTACGATAATGCTCGCGAGGTAAACAGGGCCTTATATACATAATGCAGGCAGGATTCCCGTCACAGGTAAGTTTGGGCTGCGTGCCGAGTGCCAGATTCTGCATGTGCAGCTGCCTGCCGACTCGTTGTGTTTGGTTCCGCGTCTCATGTAGGCGATGATGAGACTTCGGTGTCTGCATGTAAAGAGGAGAGGGATGTAAACATCAAATTGGAAGTGGATGCGGACAACATCATCATCGTGAAGTGATTGCTTGGCTGTCGATCTCAGATGGCGCCATGTGGGACCCCCCGACGTGCCTTCTCTTCGCACGCGTCCAAGGCACATCTCTTTTCTGCACAACATTGCTCGCCCAACTGAAGCCTTCGGGTCACTGAAATGCGGGCATCCCTGCAGCAGGATTCGCTAATGGATGTCGGCCTCTTATGCTCAACGTCGCATAGATCTACTACCATGCTGCTCCGCCTTCTCACCACGAGGCGCAGTTGCAGGCTGCAGAGAGTTGGAGACCAGACAGTACTCAACTCCATGGCCATCCTGCAATCTTCTAGGCTCCGAGTATTGCTGCTCGGAGCACTGGCTATAGACTGATTCGCACGTGGGCCACGCGACACAACTTCCCACAGAGCCTCCAGGTTGCATCGATAGAATGGAACCTCTACGAGACCCCAAGCGACAGATTCGGCTGCTGCATCTCTTTCCTGGGGCGGCAGACGATAGTATCTCATGCGAAGTGAGTGTCCGTGGCTTCGATAGATCGACCCACGAATATCTGGCGATATCATACACGTGGGGAGACACGGCGCATCCACGGGGAATTTTCATCGATAACGAGCTTCGAATGGTGCGTCAAAATTGCCACTACGCTTTATGGCAAGCACGGTATCACTATCCGGATGCTTATATCTGGATCGATGCCTTTTGCATTGACCAGGAGAATCTCGAAGAGAAGAGTCGTCAAGTGGCAATGATGAGCAAGATATTTGCCCAGGCAACCGAGGTGCTGGCTTGTGTTGGACCTGATCATGGTGACAGTGAGTTCTTGTGGAACTTCTCCCAGGACTTCTCGTACGAAGCTCTGTATCCAAAGCATAGAGAAGCTTTCACAGTCGGTTGCAATGGCGAACATCCAGAAGCAGCCATTAGCTGCGAAGAACTCTGGGATAATTGGGAAGCCAGCAACTCAGTAGAGGCTCTCGAAAGATTTCTCAAGGCTTGCCACAAGTTCATGAACCGGCCATATTGGGAACGCTTGTGGATCTTGCAGGAGGTCACCGTGGCTCGTAGAAAGGAGGTTCTCTGCGGCAGATTTCGCCTACCATGGACGGTGACACACAATTTGGCGTTGTTGCAAGATCTCAACAAAGCTCATGCCCTGCTTGCAATAAGCGGCTTTACATTTGTTATGATCTCCCGCTGGTCCCCGACTGAATGCGTCGATGAGTCTGTTATGTCCCTGTTTCGACATTATAAATGCCAAGATGCGCGAGATCGTATTTTCGGGACTCAAGCTTTCCTGCGTTTCAACGATATAAAGTTCCACATCGAACCAGACTATAGCAAGTGCGCTTTGGAGCTCGCAATGACAATCATGTCGCATTACACACCGTGGACCTTTCCTAGCAAGTTGCTCTGCTTGTTAGAGGTCAACATGCATTGTCCGCAACTTCAGGCTCTGATTGTCAGGAGATTGCATCAGGATGCCAGCATGGTCTCCGACGTCCCAGCTGGCTATCACATGGCATTTAATACTACGCGGCTACGCAGAGATGGAAAGGGCCGATTGACGTGCAGCCTTGGAAGCTTACAGGCTGCTCATAAAGATCTCGCAATGCTGGACTTCATCACATTTGCGAGCAACGACAGGACCTTCAATGAGATGCTCTCGGAATGCGTGAAAGTCTATGCGGGCGATGAGCCAGCTATGTTTCTGGGAAATGAGGCCCGGGAAGGCGACTATCTGGCGGAGTTGGAATGGGGCACAGGTCTCCTCTTCGTACTCCGCCCTCGTACGAAGAGAACTTTCAAGATCGTCAGCCAGGGATTTTCACTAATGTCACATGCCATCTGCTGGGACAAGTGCGATTGTGTGAACCAAGGCATCGTGCATGACGCCCTGATGCAATCGCTGTTCGCTACGAGTCTATCCATCGAGGATGTTGTCGTCTTCTTTGGCCAAGATCTACTCGGCCATGATGAAGAACGCGAGCTTCAGCATGACCCCACTGCCCGACTACGCCGACTTATCACCCCAGTCAGCTCTCAAACTAGACCCATCGCCATTATGGAGAGCGATGACCACGAGAATGACTGGGAAAGTGAGGATGACCCTTACGAGGGTGGGGACGAGGCAGAAAGCGATGATGCATCAGAGAGTGACGACACCCTGGAAAGTGACAATTGAACTGACGCCGCCAGGATATGAAGACCCCCTCCCCCGACTAGAGCCACACTACTCCTATCCGCAATAATGTCACGCCAACTCGTATGGCTGCGGCATATTCCAAGCACTGTGCAAACGGACAGAGCAAGGCATCGAGCACGAAATTCTTAGAATGCATGAATTCGCGATTGAATTGGCAGTCTTCGTCATCCTCATATGTCAGGATCTGCTCAACGATGGTCATGTATATGACTATGCCGCACTAATGAGCCGATTCACCACCAAAGTCGATGCTCGCCTTTGCTCGATAGCCATCCCGGAGGAAGATGACAGTACGACTGTCGAAGTCAATTGATTAGGTCATGTCGAATCAAGTGGCTCTGAAAGACTGGTGTCGGTGCAATGTTACGAACAGGATTGCAAGATCTCGACATCTCGTTCTTCAACGGAAGTACGTTGCTTTCGTGAACCCCCCTTCTTCACGGTGTTGCATCCCATTTCTCCTTCGATAACCTTACCACTCCATGCTACGCCAGTCCCACACTCTGCCAGAACCCCTCTCGAAGCCTCTTTCACGCACATTTTGCGACATCCCAAAACCTATCTCCATCCGAGTCGAATGGCTGACAAGGTCTGTGTTGGATTCGGCACTTCAAAACGCAATGGTAACTTGGATTCCCCTTTCCGGCACCACACGTGTTACTTTTGACGTCGCAGACCTAGCGAGTGTCAGAGATGGCGGAAAAATGGCGACAATATGACTGATTTGATTGTGGATTAAGTCACTGCGTACCCAGTCATTGCAGGTGACGGAGCCGGCGAGCAAGAATAGTAGGAAGTACTTCATCTTTTGGAAACTCGCTGGTTGGAGGATGTGGATTTTTTTTTTCGAGGCGCAAAGTTTGGAATATTATGTTTGGAACATATGAGCGGGGGTGGGCTACCATTTTTATGGGAAGTCAGTCTTTTGCTCCTCAGTCTGGTACCTGCATTTAGAGATTGGATCAGCAGGCAGGGTATTTCTCGCTCTCTGGACATCTGCAACCTTGTTGGACAGGCGATATAGGGCAGCGTATTGGCAGGAAGGCCTCGAAATCCGTTGAGCTTATATCCCGTGAATCTGTGCATGCAGTTGACAGATTTGTAAACTTGAGCAGATTTCTCTTTCGGACGCGAAATGAATTATAGGGCAAGTCCCTGGTTTTGTGGTAAGGCGCAACCTTGGGTACCCTCGAGCGGACGGAAAGGGCACGCGAGCTCTAAAGAGAGGTGAAGTTCAGATATAACACGCGTCTGGTCACTTTGCAGGACTCTCCTAAACATCCCATGAGCGCAATACTATCGACCAGCCTCATCAGCATATCGACGACGAGAGATCTATCCAGTGAACACCGAACAACACCATATCATCCCGCTCACCGAACCCAAGAACTCTTCTTCTCTTCTCTTCCACTCACAAATCCAACTTCCTCCTACTAATCCAAACCCTCGTATCCTCCGTCGTAGTATACGTCCCCGTAGCCTTCTTATGCTTCGGCATCTTCCACTTCCCCCCACCCTTCGGCTCAATCTCCCACAAAGAAATAATCGTCGCAGTAAACGTCATCGCCTCCTTCAACGCAAAAGCTCTACCTTTACACATACTTGCCCCACCACCATAAGGTCGAATACTACCCAAATCAGCCGTAGATTTTCCGTCCGAGTCTTTCTTGATATGACGATCGGGTTTGAAAGTCATGGGATCGTTCCAGTAGTTTGGATCGGTATTGTGAAGATCATGCGCGGCGTGAACGTATTCGCCTTTTCGAAGGAGGAGAGGTTCGGCGCCTTTTTCGCGGGATTGGAGGATGAAGTCTTGGTTTACGGCTTTGAAGGACCAGGGGGCTGTGTCGAGGCGTAAAGTTTCGACGTAGACGCTTTTGAGAAGAGGACAAGAATCACATAAACGATCGACATCGATTTTTGTGATTTGGGGTGAAGGCTCGATGGGTAGACCGGTGCGTTCTTGAGTTATTGTCACGTAGGGTGCAATTTCTTCTCGAAGTTGAGCGAGCAGGACGCGGTCATCGTAGATTCTGTTGATCATCCAGAAGACGAAGGAGTTAGAGTTTGCGTTCGCTGCCCACATCAGAGCCCAGTCGATTGCTGTTCGGGCGCGGATGGAGAAGTTGTGTTTGCGGTAGACTTCTGTGCGGGCGCGGATTAGGGTGCTGATGTCGTCGAGCGAAGACCATTTTGATTCGAGAGGTTGACCTTCGAAGTACTTTTCTAGGTTCTCGTGGAAGGTGTCTAATTTCTCAACGCAGGCCTTTCGGGCGATGTGTGCGCGAGTTAGAGCGGGAATGGGAAGCCATCGGGGGAGAGATGCGGCCATCATGAGGAAACCCATGTCGAAGGTCCAGACGTCTTGGATGAATTCTGGGTAGTTGGCGAGGAAGTCTGTACCCACGATCGAGGGGACCGCTGTCCAAGCGACGAAATCTCTAAGAAGAGGAAAGAGGCTAGCTTCAACGACTGAAGGAGGAGCTGATTTGCCGTCTGCTTCGTCGACCAGGAGAACAGTGTTGGCCTTCTTTTCCCATGGCATCTGGTCAACGGGACTTTCGAGGTAGGAGACCAAGTTGTTGATGTTGTCTTGTGCGCGACGTGCTGTGTTGTTCATCATGTGCTCCAATCCAGGATTGGTGAGGATCTCTCGATAACATTCGACCAGCTCCTTGTACGCTGCATCGTACTTGTCGAACTCGTTTTTCGGAAAGCAGAAGAGGTTGATCATCAATTTCTTGGCCACCGTTTCCGCGTCTGCGTTCTCCTTCTTCGCGTTTATCAGAGCAGTGACATGGCCTGGCGTGTACACAATATTGTGACGACTGCCGCCGAAGTTCAACGCGAATGCTCCGTTTCGGTAGATCGAGCGAAGTCCATTCAGGAATGACTCTCCATCCAAGCCCATTTGGGGAATATGGCCAAGGAGAGGGAGCCAGTATGGATGAGCCGGTACTGTGAGAGCGCCATTTTGATGTCTTGACTTGGTGTTGCTGCTGCTCGCGATTCTAGTGACGATGATGACAACGACAGTGGCCAAGAGTATTGTCGCCGTCATGTTCTGTAGCGGAAGTTGGTACCATGTCGGCGGCGAGACGTGCAGTTCCGGCGGCTGCCAGTCGGAGCTTCCATTGGAGGCCGCCATTGCTTTGCGACTTCCTTGCGAGCTGGTCCTGGTCTGTTGCACCGGTCTTTTCTCCCAGGCTTCTAGCACCACATGATATGGGCAGGAGTGAGGTTAAGTTGGACGTAGGATTGGGCTTGCTGACGCAGAGCAAAGTGGCGTCGCGTGCTTCGTATCGAGCCCGAGACGATTCCTCCGAGCATCCGCTTACTCCAAGGGTATATCACTTTCGCTGCAATTGCTCTCCGCTCACCTCATTTGTTGTTCGACCTCCAAACAGCGATTGTCTACCAATTCTGGCCAGTGTTGCGGTATACCAGCCACGCGAGGTGGAAAATAAGCTCTGTCATGATTGGCCAAAAATTGGCTGTCGTCTCCACCGACACTTTCGCTGGGTTGTGAATCCTGCAGAAGAAGCCCCAAGCCTGACACAAGACGCGTCGTGCATATCAACCACATCTCGACTCATCAGGTGCTCGGTGCCGACTTGGACCACGGCCGCTTTGCGTCTGCTGAAGAGGCATCCCGAACACAACGACCAGCGCGCGCAGGACGCGCCGATCCCTCCTTCGGCAAGACTGCGGCGACGGCGACTCCGCGACTAGTTAGGTTCTATGTCTCATCATCGAGCTACGGAGCTTGCCATGCGCTCTACAACTTCGACCTGCCTATACTCTTCAGTATAAGGTCTCGTGATGCCGCCACTTATCCTACGATGTCGAGAGCCTAGCGAGCTTTCACCAATAGCTTTCGATTGTTGGCTGATGCTTTCGGACCTGTTACTGCATGTAACATCACAGTCGCAAGCGGTTAAATCGTTGTCAAGTCAGCTCTCAGCTATTTCTTAACTTCTTGGCTCCAAGACGCGCCCTCCAGATCTTTGCATTCTTCGACGCCTCCGCCCCGCGGCCAAGCAGCACTAGTCACTAAATGGTTGCTCGCGTGCATACTGTTCGCGGAGGAGTGTCGAAGGAAGCGTACTGACAGCAGGTCGATCAAGACCTTGCGATGTGTTCCCAGTGGACAAGACTCCTGGCGCCAGAGTGCACTGGAGCATATTGAATTTCAAGACGCCCTTTCACCGGCGAACGTCTGACCCAAGCATTCCTCGAGGCGTACAAGCAAGCAAAGGCTTCAAAATCTAATCTACAATCAGGCAAACCCTAAGCAAAACCCATACCCTGGCGCAAACCTTGTCACGGGGATGTCGTTGTATCACAGGTGCAACGGCCTCACTGCCCAGAAAACACCAGACTCTTGGTCCGCTGTGACTTTCCCTCGGGAAGCTGTTTCGGGCAATGCTGTGCAACCAAAACCGCGACAAGAGCAGGGCCGACCGCAGGGACATCAATCGAAACCTTGTCGGCGTTGCCCATGGGGTGGAACATTCCTAGACTTGGAGCTTGTGCGGAGCTGTTGATCGAATTCATCAGAGAAGGATCGCGTCGCACATAAACAGTCGCAAAGACCCCGTACTCAGCTCTCTTTTGCTTGGAACTTTGCTTCGCCTTTTTGGCAGGACTGCTTGTCTACGACTGAAGGAACTTCACGGCGAACTTTGTTGCTTCGGCGCGACCTTTCTGAAGACATGGCGGACATCAAGGCCTTCGAGAAGGACGACTCTCCAGATGGGTCCGGAGAGGTCCGCCGAGTTTCTGTGGCATCGGTCGACTTGACGAACAACATCGACGCAAAGTACGTACTGTATATGCAGTCCCGTGTTTTGGGCTTGGGAGCTAACTTCACACAGAGTGAGCAACCCACTCGCGGGTATCTCGTATGACGACCTCATGAAAAATGTCGAGGACTTTGCGCAAGAGAAGGACCTGAGTGATCAACTGGATCTCCTCAAGAAAGGAGCCTTGATTGCCCAGGATCCAGCCAACTTCGAAAGTCTCGACCAACTTGATGAGCACGAAAAGGAGTTCTTGCGATACGAGGCCAGTCACAAGTGGCGACATCCATGGCAGCTGTGTACGTGACACATACGTGACCGTTCTCCTGACTGTGCTAACAAGACAGACATGACAATCATCACTTGCTCCATTGGTGCAGGTAAGTGCAACCACTTCTCTCAGACACTTTCGTACCTTCAACTGACCTCACTTTGCGCATAGCCGTGCAAGGTTGGGATCAGACTGGCTCAAACGGAGCGAATCTCAGCTTTCCAGTCGAATTCGGCATTGGCAATGGCGAGACTCCTGGCGCCCCAAACCAACTTCGCGACCAATGGCTCGTGGGAGTCGTGAACGCTGGACCGTATCTTGGATCTGCTTTCATCGGCTGCTGGCTCTCTGACCCTTGCAACTTCTACTTCGGGCGTCGTGGAACGATCTTCATCTCTGCCATCTTCTGCTTACTCACTCCAATCGGTGGCGCTGTCTCGCAGAATTGGGAACAGCTGTTCATCACTCGATTGCTTATGGGTATTGGAATGGGTCTGAAAGGATCCTCTGTGCCAATTTTTGCTGCTGAAAATTCCCCTGCTAAAATTCGTGGCGCTCTGGTCATGAGTTGGCAGATGTGGACTGCTTTCGGTGCGTTCTTTTCTTGTGAAATGTATTCTGCCAGCAGAGAGGATACTGATATCGAGCAGGAATTTTTCTCGGCTTCTGCGCCAATCTTGCTGTGTACCGTGTTGGCGACATTGCTTGGAGGCTGCAAATCGGATCTGCATTTATCCCAGCAGTGCCTCTCACTGCATTGATCTACTTTTGTCCGGAGTCACCTAGGTATGTTGACTACTAACCTTTCGTCTTCAAAATTGTGACTAACAGCGTTGAAGATGGTACATGAAGAAGAACAGATATCACAAGGCTTACAAGTCTTTGCTGCGACTACGATTCCATCCTCTGCAAGCAGCACGCGATCTGTACTACATTCACAGCCAACTTCAGGTCGAAGCCAGCATCATCGGAAAGAGCAACTACGTGACGCGATTTGTGCAGCTCTTCACGATCCCGCGTGTAAGACGCGCCACTCTTGCCAGTTTCACAGTCATGATTGCGCAGCAGGTACATCTCTCCCCTCAAAGCTCGCAAGCAAGAGCCAGAAACTAACATCAATCGCCAGATGTGCGGCATCAACATCATCGCCTTCTACTCCTCCACAATCTTCCGCGAAGCCGAAGCCTCCGAACGCGACGCCCTCATTGCCTCCTTCGGCTTCGGCCTCGTCAACTTCGTCTTCGCCTGGCCCGCAATTTGGACAATCGACACCTTCGGCCGCCGATCTCTCCTCCTCTTCACCTTCCCTCAAATGGCTTGGACCCTTCTCGCCGCAGGTCTCTGTTTCCTCATCCCAGGAAACGGCCCAGCGCGCCTCGGTGCAATTTCCCTCTTCATCTACCTCTTCGCCGCCTTTTACTCTCCAGGTGAAGGGCCTGTGCCTTTTACCTACTCCGCCGAAGTCTTCCCCCTCTCGCACAGAGAAGTCGGAATGGGATGGGCAGTCGCAACCTGTCTCTTCTGGGCTGCTGTGCTTTCGATTTCTTTCCCAGCTATCCTTGGCGCTTTCACGCCAACGGGAGCGTTTGGGTTCTATGCTGGATTGAACATTGTCGCATTCGTGATGATTTTCCTTTTCGTGCCCGAGACGAAACAGCGTACGCTCGAGGAATTGGATTATATCTTTGCTGTGCCTGGATCTCAGTTTATTCGGTACCAGACTACCAAGGCTCTTCCTTGGTGGTGGAATCGATGGGTGCTGCTCCGTAAAGGAACAAAGCTAGAACCGTTGTATAAATTTGATGAGACGATTGAGAGGTCGCAGAAGGTTGGTGTTGCTTAGACTCAGACAAGTGAACAGGATCCAGAGAATATCACGGGATGTTTGTGGGTATCACACGACGCGGAATGAAATGTTGGTCATTGTTGTCTTGCACGATGGGCTGGGAATAATGGGAAGGGGAAGTTGTTTGAGCTTTTATATACCCAAGTCGGCATTCTTTTCATGCCCTCAGCAGGACAATACAATCATCACGAGATCAAACAATGGATGGATGGACTTGTGTACTAATGCCAGAGAGATGGCGCTGTGCACCCACTGCGCTCTGTTCAACGAGATACTTCGCTGCTGTCTGAGATCGAGATATTGACAAATGTTAATCCTTTGGCTTCCTTGACTCCGTCTCAACAACACCTCTGCTTGAATTCCTGGCGATCAGCCGTATTCACTGTCGTTCTTCGTCTATCTTGCCGTCATGTTATATTCTCTATATGTGCAAACCATGCTAAGAAATGTCGCCACATTCACAACTTGCTCCTCGGCTCCAGCATTTTCTCCACCTCCGCAAACTGGTAGTAATAATTCAGACACTCCTTATTAGCTAAGGTATCCGAAGGCTTGATCTTCTTCCCGCTAACAATCTGCTTCACAGGCAACTCCACCTTTTTCAGATTAATCGTCGTTGGAATCTCCGGAGTCTCGAACACATATCGTGGTACACAACGTTTCCCGCAATCGCGGCCAATAGCTTCTTTGACTTTTCGTACCAGATCTTGCGTGAATTTCTTCCCAGGCTTCATGAGCAAGAATAACATGACGCTTTCGTCGTGATCTTGTGGCCGTCGCTGTCCTACGCAAATACTGTCTTGTAGCTCGTCAGGGAAGTTGTTGTCCAGGCAGTTGTAAATTTCCGCACTTCCGAATCGAACTCCGCTGGGGTTCAATACACCATCTGAACGGCCGAGGACCCAGACTTGTCCGGTCTTGGGATGGAACATGATGAAGTCGCCGTGCGTCCAGACGTTATCATACTTGCCAAAGTACGAATTGAAGTACTTCTCACCATTTTCGTCGCCCCAGAATTTGTTAGGTTGAGTTGGGAAACCTTTCGTACAGACGAGTTCACCAGGTTCACCCAGCGGCAAAGCCTTTCCTTGAACACCTTTCCCGCCTTCAATCTCTTGATCGTATGCCTCGACTTTCATGCCGAGTGCAGGACCAACACAACCACCGACATACACAGGTTGCATGAGATTCGCCATCGTGAAACAAGATGCGAGATCTGTGCCGCCGGAGATGTTGTCGAGCTGAACTTGAGGCGGAAAGGCTTGATCGTAGAACCATTCGAATTGTGCTTCTGATAACACCATTCCTGTGCTGGTGACACGTTTGAGACGACTGAGATCCACGACCTCACGTGGCAGGATGGGAGGTTTTGCTGTAGCCAACGTTTGCATCCATCGCGGAGAGACACCAAGATCAGTGACTTTTTGATCTTGCACGATTTTCAAAAATGTTGTCAAGTCTGGTTGGAACGGCGAGCCATCATAGAGAATCGCCTTGGCCGAGTTCGCAAGCGAGAGAACGCTCACCAGATACATGATCCAGCCAGTTGTTGTATATTGCAGGACGCAAAGATCATCTGGTGAGATTTGTGCCATGTCGCGGTGTAAATTCGCCTCTTTGCGATTGCTCAATAACACGCCGCCAACATTGTGGACGATGCATTTCGGTTGACCAGTTGTGCCAGAAGAATAGACGATGAGAAAAGGGTCTCCGAATTCGATACGTTCGAAGTGGAGTTCAGGATCGTTTTTGGCTGCCGAAAGGAAGAGCTCGAGAGATTCTGCTTCGCGCACTTTGGAGATGTCTTTCGGTTGACGTTGTGTACGAGGCATGCTGACGATGCTTTCGAATTCGGTTATACCAGTCATGCCATCTACGATTTCGTTCATTTTGGGCCGGAGGTCAATCGTCTTGCCATTGTATAATGCCCAATCGTCGACGAAGACGAACTTGGGCTTGATTTGGCGAAGTCGGTCGAGAATGCCTTTGGTTCCCATATCAGTCGAGCTGGAGCTGAAGATTGCACCGCGGGCTGTAGCAGCCAGGAAGACGACCAGTGTGTCAACGCTGTTCGATGCCACGACTGCAATACGATCGCCCTTGCCGACACCTCTGGCTCGCATGGCATTGGAAAGATAGCCCGTTCGAGCTCTCAGTTCTGCCCACGTAACATTGCGCACTTCTGTTCCGCCTTCACGAACCTCAACACAGGCAATTCGTTCATCTTCCTTTCGATCAGTCGACCATTTGCTCGCATCCTTGGCAGGTGAGTAGAGGATATTCTCAGCAAAATTGAGCTTGACTCCCTCGAACCACGGCGGAATCGTGTCCATACGAGCATTCTCATCCACAACACGCTCATATTTCCCCTCATGAATAAGAGGAAATTGCAAAAAGAGCTCCTCCCAAAACGCAGCCCGCTGGTCCACAGACCAGGCATGAAGCTGAGGCCATGTGTCAAGCCTCGTCCCACGCTTTCGGTTGACCTCTTGCATAAACTTATAAGCCAACGTGCCCTTGGGATTCGGAGGATCCCACAGCTTGCGAGGCACCGTCGTGGGGTCCGCCATGGCGTGTCCGTGAAGAGTAATGCGGAAGATCAGCTGCGAGGGGAAGAGAGAGAGCTCTTGACGTCAGAGTAACGAGAGAATTGGTGCCTGACAGTAGCGTGTAGATCGCAGAGACAGAGACGACTCTGAGCTTCGGCCAGGCGAGTAATCGGACCCAAGCAACAAGTATGGATCAAAACCAAGGTAGTTAACAAGAGCCTTTCAGCGCTCTTTACTCGTGAACCGCGTGTCAAACCAACCAGGTGGAGGTTGCAAGACACCACGCTAGTCCAACCTCGGTAAGAGACGGAGCTCTAGGTCGGCATGTGAGGGGACCAAAACATCGCCCAGCTTACGAACTACTGTAGGACCACGACTCATGGGCAACGAAAAATCGTCATGTCGCATCGGGCAGCCATCCTGTCATCGTGCATGCGGGCTGAAGATCGAAGTGGCAGTGAGTAATAATAAGAAAGCGAGGTGAGCTGCCTGGAGTTCGTGTTTCCCGGTTTCCATTGCTGTACAAAGCGTTGTTACACTACATTCTTCCCCCTGTCGTATCAGACTTCTTTCAGAGAAATTATTAAGCCATTGGGAGCGAAATCAACATGAACTCAAACAATAACAACAACTCATCCGGTGGCCGGAGCAGCCACGACTTTGCCCGAGGCGGCACGTCGAGCAACTCCAATGGCAATTCCGGCGGCTCCAGCACGGGATCTTCGAACAACAACAACACCAGCAGCAGCGGCGGCTTAGGAGGCAGCTCTGGTGGCTCCAGCGTGGGATCTTCCAACAATAACAACTCGAGCAGCAACAACAACTCCAGCGGCCACTCGAGAGGAGGAAGCAGCGGCGGCGGCTATGGAGGTGGTAGCTCCAACTCCAACTCTTCTTCTGGTGGCTATGGAAACAGCTCCTCTTCCGGTGGCGGCTATGGAGGAAGCTCAGGCGGCGGCGGCAATTCCTATGGCGGATCGAGTGGGGGCGGTTATGGCGGAGGCGGTCACAGCAGCAGCGGTGGCGGCGGTGGTTATGGCGGTGGTAGCTCTGGAGGCCGGTCCGGTGGTGGCTCGTCTGGTGGATCGCGATTCACGACCGACAAGAAAATGGATGTCGCATACGAAGCGGGGTACAAGGACGCCATGGACAAAGTGAAATCCGACATGATGCGAAACTTTGGCAACTAAAAATGGTATGTCTCTCTTGACTCTCTCAACGCATCCACTGTCGCCGCTGCACGAGCCTTTACTGACCTCGTCGTCGCAGTTTCTTACGAATAATGTTGACGACAGCACCGCCCGAAACCAGATCGGCTTGGGTTTGAGGATTTTTGAGCATGCAAGATGACGGGTGCTTTCCGATGTGGGGACCTTTGGCGATCGCGATGTGGATAGCTCTGGCGCTTGTTGGCCTGATCTGTCCATTGCGGTCATGCGTTCGGGCACATGTATAGGCGTTCAAATGTTTCATTGAGCTTCAAAAGATGCATTACTTCGACTTACCTTCATGCTGCTGATTCGAATAGGCCGATTCAAGCTCTGCCCAATGCGACGATGATGACTCACCTCCGAAGGACGATGTTTGCTGCAAGAATGCATCGCTTTGCCACCGTGCACACAAGAGCTGAGAGAGTGCGGTCGTCAAGCGGCTGAAAATACAACATGCAGCGTGCCGAGCGCCCGAAGCTGGGTATCCTGGTCGCCATTGTCATATGTGCCTTTTGATAAGGCTGTCACATTCTGCAGCAAATAAAGCACCAGCCGACAGCAGACGACTGCGGCAGAGGGTTGCTGCTCACGATCGCCACTCATCGCGCAGGTCCCGACAGGTCGCACGGCGTTTCCCTGCATGCATTCGTGAAGAGCGGCTATGGTCTTCCACTAGCTGTGCAACGACGCAGACGAGTCGCAGCGACGTTCGAAGCGACATTGCATTGGTCCGGTTCGGCTGTGCAGGACACATCCTGTGGGATGAGATGCGCGCCTATCGAGGTGCATTTACCTGCCAATGCAATCAGCCTTCATTCCAACACCGTGTGTGATGCAATGCGATGCCATATTCTCGATCATACAGGGTGCCTTCTCAGCATGAATGCACCGGTCAAAGTGCGCTATGAAAGCCATGCATGTGTAAAGCAACTAATCATATCGAAGTCGAAAAAAGCCTTCAAGAACCAAAATGATCGCTTACCTGATGCCAACATGTCCTCCGTCTTCTAAGGATCGTGTATTGAAAGCGGCTATTCCTGGCTCCTGCTTCCCTGCCATATGGCGGGTACGAAGAAGCAAAATGTTGTACCTGTGGACTGTGTTGAGTCGTTGTCATTTTCGTATTGCTACATATCAATCATTAGTCGCAAGCACTGCAAGAAGCTCAATCGCCGCCGAGACGTCTCCCGGAGCCGCTCCAAGCTGAGCCAGTAGCCCATGAGCTTGGGAGTGGTCCGTTGCCCTGTCCTCTTGCAGCCGCTGGTTGATTGGCTGGTCTGCCTGCGAACGCGGTCCCGTATGCACGATTCGTTTGTGGCTGGCCAGTGCCTGCAAACAGCTTCTGAATGAAGAGAGGTGTGTTTGTGTATTTCCCTCCAGCCCCATACTCTGGCCAGATGCGATCGAGGAAGTCGTAGAGGTGGGCTGCGAGAATGCCAGTCGCCTGGATCATGGTGTGGAAAGGCCCAGCCATGAGGTATGTGACAGCTAGCATCGCATAGGGCAGATACTTTGCTGGCATGTTGACGATGTAGAATTGAACTTGTCTGTTCGGATCTTCCAATGCGAACGTGTAGATCAGAGCCATGTTCAATGCCTGAAGAAGTACAACCCCGCCAAGGTAGACGCCTCCGGTGAGCTGCTTCGTTGTCAGCGCGCTGCACATCCAACAAGCGATAAAATCTACGAGAGTAAGACATCAAGGTAAAGGTATGTAGGGAGCAACAACCACCGCCTGCCCACAAGTTCAAGGCCGCCAGTATTTCTCAATAGGCATCCCACCATGCCCACACTGCGCGAACGCTCTATTGTTTATGCGAATGACGAACGCCGCACAGTGCAGGGGTAATCTTGCTCGGTTCCAGGAACCGTGACAGCTACGAGGAGCTGGCCGGGCAGATATTCCGAGCGTACATTGGTGAAAGAGAGGAGGAAAAGGTAAAGAAAGAAGACTGCGAGATAGGTAGTCGTGCTTACCAGAATGACAAGCGCCACGAACATGAGGTAGAAGGCGTATGCACCAGGAGCACTGAAGCGCGGCGCGCCAGTCTCGAGCATGTTGCTGTACTGGTAGAAGAAGAAGGGGTCCATGATCAGCCCCAACGAAGGGCCAGTGACGAGGAAGCACGTTATCGCGCGCCACAGCTCTGGCAGTTGGCGGATGGTGAAGACATAGTCTCGAAGGAAGACGACCCAAGAGAGGCTATACAGGCCGAGATGTCCGGGCACGCTGATGAGGACGGCTGCGGCTGTGATGGTTCTGCTTAGCATCAGAATCTGCGCCAGCTTGCGCGTGCAGCAAATTTCTTACCTGGTGACGGGCGGCGCCTGGAAGAAGGCTTCCTGGAACGACATCCTCACCGCGTTCAAGTGGTGTTGCGAAGCCGCCGCACTGCTGCAACTGAATGTGATGAAGGTGAGGAAGAAAAGAGAGTGGAAGCAAAGTGTTCTCTTGTTTTCGAAGAGTGTCGGCAAGCGCGTTGGTCCGTGGCACGTGCCAGAATAGGCGGCAGCTGCCGCGAAGGGCCACCACTAAATTTTGGCAGAATGCATTGATGCCAAGCACTCGCACGCAGTTTTGGTTTGGGCGGAACATTCGTCCTGACGACTTTGACGACACAGCCAGCCTACTAACCACCACAGCACCTGTTCTTTCACTCGACCGCGAATATGGCTGTCGGCAAGAACAAGAGACTGTCCAAGGGCAAGAAGGGCCTGAAGAAGCGTACCGACCCATTCGCCCGCAAGGACTGGTTCAGCGTCAAGGCTCCGTCGACGTTCAACATTCGCGAGTACGATCCCACCACCCACTCCCGCACACGAAATGCCTTTGCGCAGATGAGGAAAAGCGAGGATAGAGAGATGGATAACTAACGCTGGCTGCAGTGTCGGCAAGACCCTCGTGAACCGCTCCACTGGTCTCAAGAACGCCAACGATGCGCTCAAGGGCCGTATCTTCGAGGTCTCGCTCGCCGATCTCCAGAAGGATGAGGACCACGCTTTCCGCAAGGTTAAGCTGCGCGTCGACGAGGTCCAGGGCAAGAACTGCCTGACCAACTTCCACGGACTTGACTTCACTTCCGACAAGCTGCGCTCGCTCGTCCGCAAGTGGCAGACCCTCATCGAGGCCAACGTTGTCGTCAAGACCACCGATGACTACCTCCTCCGCCTCTTCTGCATTGCCTTCACCAAGCGGAGACCAAACCAGATCAAGAAGACCACCTACGCACGATCTTCGCAAATCCGCGCCATCAGGAAGAAGATGACGGATATCATGCAGCGCGAGGCCCAGAGCTGCACTCTCAGCCAGCTCACCACCAAGCTGATCCCAGAAGTGATCGGCCGTGAGATCGAGAAGAGCACTCAGGGCATCTACCCTCTCCAGAACGTATGTACATGGCGGGAATCAGGGTCGCGTGAAGCAGGATAAAATGCTAACAAGCGCAAAGGTCCACGTCCGCAAGGTCAAGCTCCTCAAGTCGCCTAAGTTCGATCTTGGTAACCTCCTCTCGCTCCACGGCGAGTCCTCCACCGATGACGCTGGCCAGAAGGTCGAGGGTGCACGCGACTTCAAGGAGACGGTCTTGGAGTCTGTTTAAAGAGGTTAAATGGGGCATATGATGCTTTACGGTAACACATGGGCATTGGGCAGTGTGGCGACTTCACTTGTTTGCGAGTAGAACGGCGTTTGAGAGCAAGAGGGCCATGGAGATGAAAGATGCATGGGACATCTATACCAGCGCCACGTTAGGTCCTTACGCAAAATCAGTGAAACGTTCAAAATGTTCAATGCCGATGACCCTTGTTCTCTTTTCTTTCTGTAAAGCGTCGTGACTGAGGACTGTGCCTACATGACTAGAGCTTGACCGTGGCATCTAACAGTGGCGCAACATCGTGCCCCGTCAGATGTGCAATGCTTAGCTCAGAGTTGTACTGCACGAATCCCACACCTTCCTATCTTTCACATCGAGACACCGCAATCGCACCTTCTCAGACTTAAACTCATGATCCAACTTCCAGTCCCATCTCACCTTACTTCTTCGTCCTGACGAACAACCTCATTTTCGCAAAACAGGACTGAAATTTCCGAGCCACAAGCGTTCGATTCCACCAACACCCACAATTGCAGCGCACCGCACTCGCCGCGATTCTTTCGAACAAGCCCTACAAGACTCAAGAAAGAAGAAATCAAAATGGCCCCACCCAAGCATCTCAACTTCATCACAGGCAATGCCAACAAACTCGCCGAAGTCCAAGCCATTCTCTCTTTCACGCCCGTCGAACTCCGATCGCAAAATGTCGATCTAGTAGAGATTCAAGGGACGATTGAGGAGATTTCCAAAGATAAGGCGAGCAGGGCTGCGGAGGCGGTAAGTGTCACCTCGTCTGTTCTTGAGGATACATAATACGAAGATACATAAGACTGACGTGGAAATTGTGTGATAGGTACAAGGACCTGTTTTGGTGGAAGATACGTGTTTGTGTTTCAATGCGTTCAAGGAGCTGCCGGGACCTTATGTGTATGTTGTTCCTCCATCGTTCAGTTTGATTCATTGTTTACTTTTCTGTGCTTTTCTTCTACATCACTTATCGCGATTTCATGGCTATGCACGCTGACTATCTTTACAGAAAGTGGTTCCTCAAGGCTCTCGGGGTGCAAGAATTCCACAAGCTGTTGGCGGGCTTCGAAGACAAGTCTGCTCAGGCTGTGTGTACGTTTGCGTACTGCGAGGGACCAGGCAAGGAGCCGATTGTGTTCCAGGGCCGGACAGCTGTGAGTGTTTCCATTTGTAGCAGATACTTCGCAATGTAGCTGTCGCTGACTGATTTGTTGTAGGGCAAGATTGTGCCTTGTCGTGGACCAACGGATTTCGGTAAGTTCCCGTGCCCTGTTGTCTTTTTCCTCGCGCAGTGCTGATTCTGATTTAGGCTGGGATGCGTGCTTCGAGTATGAAGGACAGACATATGCCGAAATGCCCAAAGTGGAGAAGAACAAGGTCTCGCATCGTGGAAAGGCTTTGGAGAAGCTGACGGAGTGGCTGAATCAGGAGCTTTGAAGAACACTTCCAGAACGTCCTGTCATGATGCAAGCGCTTCTTCCATAGAAATCATACAGATCTCCAACAAGTTCATCCATGCAAAAACATCGGATCATCCTCGTCCTTCTTTCCACTCGCCTGAGCCTCAACTTCCCCACCCTCTTTTCCGTGATCCTTCTTCCACTGCTTCACCCAACTTTCAATGCGATCCACATTCCCATCGATATCCTCCGCCTTCTCACTCTTCAATTCCACCACAATCTCCCCATCATACGCATCCCTCGCCTCCTGCAACAAAACCTCCATAATCTCACAATCCAGATTCTCCTGCAGCTTCTTTTCCTCGTATCCTCTTGCTTTCAAGCGATCATACAACGTCCCATTATCGCATCGCACAACAACGACCAAATCAATAAAACTCGGAGGAAAGAGATCGCAAGCATGCCAGTCGATGATTTGCCCGCCTTCTTCGAGATCATTTTCAATCACGTCCAGTAGTCGGTCCTCGTCGACGATTTGAAGATTTGGATCGGAAGGGTCATCGGATTTCTCGCCAATGTTGTGTTTCTTTACGACGTCGTTGACGCTG